CCTATGTGGCCTGCTGATCGTGGTGTCATTTGTGATCAGCCTTTCAGACTCCCTGACTCACTGCTTGATGGTGTCCCAACTTACCTTCTGCACACATGTGGAAATCCCTCATTTCTTCTGTGATGCTCCTCAGCTTATCCGCCTCGCCTGCTCCGACACCCCCACCGGTAACATATTAATCTATTCTGTTAGTGCCATCTTTGGTGGCATCCCAGTCTCAGGGATCCTTTACTCTTATACTCGAATTGTCTCCTCCATTCTGAGAGTCCCCTCGGCAGGGGGGAAGTCCAAAGCCTTCTCCACCTGTGGCTCTCACCTGGCCGTGGTTTGCCTGTTTTATGGCACAGGCATTGGGGTGTACCTCAGCTCATCTGTGTCCCTGTCCCCCAGGAAAGGTGCAGCAGCCTCGGTCATGTACACGGTGGTCACCCCCATGCTGAACCCCTTCATCTACAGCCTGAGGAACAGGGACATCAAGAGGGCACTGTGGAGGATTATGAGCAGAACAGCCTGATCTCAATATGTTTTATCCTTTTTTGTTCATAGGATTGGAAAATGCAGCAAAATCCAACATGCACAACAAGAAATTCTGAGTCTCCAGGCACATAGTGTATATGCAGTCATCTAGCTCTCTCTCTTTGTTTACAAAATTCTTCCTCTTAGTGTAACTGATGGAATTGGGAGATGGTTCCGGATTTACCACTGCAATCACAGCCACTCCGGGATGACGTGCAGTCATCCATCAGTCCACCCTTCTCACTGTCCTCATGCATTACCCACGTCTCTTGGGCAGGAGCAGTTTCCCTTCTATTGTTGCAAAATAAACAGAGCTCCCTCTTTCTTGGTACTTATTGCTTCTTTATTCTTCTATTAATTATTTTCTGTTTCTTCAATCTCAATCCTACCTTTCAGATGAAGGCATATTTGAAACTTAGCCCCTTAATGATCTTGAGAACATTCTAAGAAGATAGGGAGAATATTTACTTTCCTGTCCAAACTGGACTCTTTTGAAATGGAAAGGTATGCGCGGTGGAGCCTAAGCACAGATGTTAAAGTTAATTCAGAACCTATGTTGTGGAGATAGAAAAGCCAATAGCGCCCTTTTTTGTACAAACCTTTTAGTGAAATTTGGAGTTCTGATTGGGTCAACTGTGGACCTCTGCTTCAGCTTCTTGTTTCCTCTGCTACAGCCTGGTTTCTTTACTCCCTTTGTTTCACCTTCTCTCCCTCCTTTTTCTATGTTTCTCCCTCACTGTGTCTCTCTTCCTTCTTTCCATACCACTGGATATACTTCAAGGCAGGTCTTCTCAATCCTGTTCATATTTGTTAATTTCTTCCCCCAGTCAGTGTCTTCACAGTCAGGGGTGTCCTCCATGCTGGCAGTAGCATTATCCAATTTATGGACCCAGGCTTAAGTCAGGTTACCTTAATGCCTTCAGAGGCGCCATATATGTCCACGGATTTTTTTTGTGAAAGAGCAGCAGCAGAGGTGTGCAAGGGTCTGGGCAGCAGCCCATTCTGAGGGTTCAGACTGAGCATGACACACAATGGCTGATTCCTCTTCTCACCAAAGTGCTCTATCCCACCCTTTCCCCTATAACTCTTAGCTTTCGGTGTGATTGCTACTTCCTGGAGGTAGGTCTTTATTGTGTCTGTGTGTGGTTTAAATGTTGGCTCTGTGTGAATTTCCTCTTTTCTATCACTGAGATATAATTGCCACAGAAAATTCATTTCAGGTGTACAGCAACATGATTCAATATTTGGGTATATCACAAAATGATCATGATGATGCCTATTATTAGACTCAGGTATACAACATAGTGATTCATTATTTGGGTCTTTCAAGAAATGATTACCACAGCCTCTAGTGGATTTACAAAGTAATTGATTTTATATTCAGGTTTTCCAGATGATCAGTTAATAAGAAATCAATCTCTGAGTTCCTCATCACAAGAACTCTGGCCCAGGTGGGCTGCAGAGCTGAGATTTAGAAAGATGCACCAGGTCCTCATTCCCATACATCCCACTCTAGCCTTCCATAGAAGCCCAAAGCACATTTTATTCAAGGGTTCAAACACAGAGATTCTAAAGACAATGCATTGGGAGAGAGATGAGCCCTTTCTAGTTGAGCAGAATTCAGAAGCCTCTAAGTATCTTTGCTGAATTCCCTTCAACATGGAAGGACTGCAGTTCACCTTTACATCAGTGGAGGGCTCCTGCTGGTGTAGGAGAAGCCAGAGAGACTTCTGACCACATGGCCAAGAGAAACAGGGTGGGCTCTGCAGAAACACTTAAAGCAGTGTAATTTCTTCCATGTGCCAGTTCTTCCCCAGCAAAGTTTTGCTGAGAAGATGCTGATATGGAGAGTTGGAGACTATGGTAGCCAGAGAGACGTCTCCAGTCTAGGGCATAGAGCCCCAATCCCTGTGAGGGGAGGTTTTGAGAGTGGGCAGCTTTCAAGCTGCTCCTGACATCCCCTGCCTTCTGTATTCGTGCCTTGTGTATGCCATCTCTCATTGAGCTGCATCTTGGGATTTGCATGCCATGAGTAAAATGTCAAAAATATCTGGGTCATGCTCCAACATTAATGTGTACATAGACCCAAACTCCCAACTTGCCAGCCCCTTCTCCTCTGCCACCTGCTCACTCTGCTAGAAGAGAGCCACCACATTATCAGCGACCAGTGGAGAAGCCCACACGGCAGGGAACTGAAAGATGCCCAAAGCCGACTGCTCAAGAAGCACTGAATCCTGGCCTTGCCACAGGGCTGAGCTTGGCATCAGGTCCCCTGTTAGTCATGCCTTGAAAGGACCGCAGCCTCCATTGAGACTTCAGACATCTGTGAAACCCACTATAATATTTAAGCGAATTTTTCATTTGGAAATACACTGAAGTAGACTATTATTTCATATAAAACATGCGTGCAGAAAGATTAAAACTTTGGTTTTCATTCAAGATAGCAAAAAACATACCATCCAAAACCCAAAAGCAGGACTACAGAGAGAAAAATGGGAGGTTCTCCTTAGAAACATAAATCTTAACAGAGAAAACAGAAACTGTATGAGATTCTTGGTATAAGAGACATAATTCTCCCCAGATAGCATGATCAATTCAATGAATTTGAAGACATACAAGTCGGCCATTGCTTCTTCTAACTGACAAAGAAAAGTTGTCTAAATTTAAAAAGTCTGTGAGGTAGACGCTAGGAGTAGCGCAGGGGAGCTTGCTTCTGAAAACAGGAGGGTCCGCACTTCCAAATACATTCCCTTTTCCTCCTCCTCTAATAATACCAAGTCATCAGAGACGGGGGAACATGGACCCGTTTGGCTAATTAGGAGCTCTGTGCACTGAGTCCCCAAGGACATATAAGAGTAAGTAATCTGCCTGTGCCTCCAGCCCTTTCCCGTTTTAGTCCCAATTTAGGGGCTTTGCATCTCTGTCCTCTCCCAGGATCGCCATTGGCATCAGGAGGCCCATGGCTGACTCTGCCTTCCTGCTGGTCCCGAGGACAGAGCCTGAACCGTCAGCCCGTGCTGAGCAGGACAGGGGCAGCGGATGTTCATTCCTTGGTGACACCCCTGCAAAGACACGGGACAGCCCGGTGGGTCCCATGGAGACGGTGGTGGGAGGAGGGACCGTCAGTAGTATTTTTTTTTTCACCATGAGGATAAGCAGCATATTCAGGAAAAATAGATGGGAGGCACCCGTATGCAGAGCTCAGCTCACGTTCTTGGCTAATATTCTAGTTCATGTTCTTAGTTCTGGGGATCCCGAAAGCTCTTATTCACAGCTTTGTCATTCTCCCACCTGGTCCTGCCATCACAGGAATCCCCCAGCCCCACCCGTCATGGCAGGAAGGAGTCCATCCGTTCACAGGGCACCTAGACACGTCTCTCCTCCCAGCCCATGCTTGCACTTCTCTCCCTGGCATTCCAGGCAGAGACCCACTGGTCACTGCGCTCTCTCCTCGGGCTCCTGGCGAACCACGGTGCAGAGCGGGGAGTCGCCCCTGCGGAGCCCGCGGCCGCGGCTATGGCCGAGGCACAGGCAGAATCACCGAGCGCTGCCCTAGGGATGCACGCCAGACCTCTGTCTTGTCCCTGCTCTTTGATTTTGCTGCCAAGGCCACTCCTGCCTGCATTCTGTGCCTTTTCCCCTCTTGCTCTGAGGGAGACCTAAAGGCCGAGGGTTGGCCCCCTTGCCACCAGGACACGGCTCCACGGTAACCTCAGGGAGCCCACAGACTCTGGGTGTCTGCTTACACTCTCATTGCTAAATAGTGAACAGTTTCAGTTGGATGGATGAGCAGAGTAAGAGCAAATTAAATTAGACACTTTTATTATTATCAAGGCTAAGCACCAGAGACCCAGCTCAGTTATGTTGTCATCTGTAGACCTGGTTGCCCTTGATTCTGAGAGGATATTTTATTTTTGTCCTTATGCAAGTCGATGCTGAGCACCTGGTGGGAAACAACTGAATCTCATTCATTCCTGATTCCTCAGAGCCTGCACTTTTCTTGGCACAATGTAGGGTATGAGAAGAACAGTTTCTGTTAAATATTCAATAGATTATTCCCGGGTTCTCGGAAACAGAGCACATGCCCTATGTGTTCCGCACACAGGATACCTTCTGCCTTTAATCTCCTTCCTTCCAGCGCCGTTCTGCAGTGCGATACAAAAGACAAAACAGTGCTTGTATCCAGGCCCCAAATTTTCCAAAGGCCCATTGTTTTCCATCTAATAGAGTCTTAATTGTGAAAAGCTGTGGAGAAAAATCTCCATGAAAATGAATAAAAGAAAAAGGAAAGAGTATGAGAAAGAAATATTTTTGTATAGGTTGAGGTTCACTTTATGATTTCTGCTTATCCCAGAAACAAGTTCCCTGGGGACACAATACACTTGTAATTCTCTGGCACATAACAGAATAAAAGGCCATGAATCCTTTCTTGGGATTGCACATAATCCACTCAGTCCACTATGCTAACGATGATCCAAATTCTGACTTAAAAATCATGAGTAAATATTGACCAAGTGATGACCTCTGTTGGGTGTTGCCCATGTCCTAGAGCTGGGACTTAGTTTCCCTGTTTCTCAGGAAAGGACACCAATCAGATCAGGGAGGCTGAGCATTACACACCCTTCATATTCAGTACATGACAGATGAAGGACTCAGCCAAAGGTCTCCTGATTCCCATTTGGGGGCTCTGTGCCCTCCACCAAAGCGGAACTACTTTCTTTTGAAACCTGCTTTACTCCTAGATGGGCAAATGGAGGTAAAACCATTCATTCCTTCTCAGGATTTGCTGAGTTCATCTGTGAATTAAGGGAATGGGCCACATGGCTTACAGGAGTCTTTATTACCTAAATGCTGTGGGCCATATGGTTTCCTGTGAATGGTAATGTACTTTGTAGACCATTTCAGAAATCTGAGCTATTGAAATATTATTCCCTGTAAAAGATGGGAATTTTCAAGTGGTTCTATCATGGGAAGACCATAGCTAGACAGACTTCAGGGATATTTCTGGTCTATATCTTGACATAAAAGTAATTACTTGATTATTCCTGATTTTTCCTTTGGGAAAAAAATGTAGGCAATTAGTAGTAAAATTTAATGTATCTGTTTTTTCAACTGAAACAACTATCTTTCTTGAATGTATCTTAGAGAAATTCTTACTTGTGTTACCGAGATAGGCACAAACATTGTATTAAGAGAGTTGTTAGAAATGGAAAATGAAAGTGAGGTCCATTCCTCAGGTAAGAGCAGGCATCATTTGCAATGTTTGAAGTATGTGTGCTTGTAAAGGAAAGATAAAGAGAAATTAATTTTTTTTCTAGATTGAGGTTCATTTTATGATTTCTGCTAATCCCAGGAACAATTTCCGCGGGACATGATAGACTTGTAATTCTCTGGCACATAACAGAATAAAAGGCCATGAACCCTTTCTTGGGATTACACATCATCCACTAAGTCCACTATCCTAACGACGATCCAAATTCTGATTTAAAAATGATGAGTGAATATTGATCAAGTGCTAATCTTGGTTGGGTGTTGCCCATGTCCTAGAGCTGGGACTCAGTCTCCCTGTTTCTCAGTAAAGGACACCAATCAGATCACGGAGGCTGAGCGTTACACACCCTTCATATTCAGTACATGACAGATGAAGGACTCAGCAAAGGTCTCCTGATTCCCATCTGGGGGCTCTGTGCCCTCCACCAAAGCAAAACTACTTTCTTTTGAAACCTGCTTTACTCCTATATGAGTAAATGGAGGTAAAACCATTCATTCCTTCTCAAGATTTGGTGAGTTCATCTGTGAATTAAAGGAATGGGCCACGTGGCTTACAGAGGTCTTTATCACCTGAATGTTGTGAGCTATATGGTTTCCTATGAATAGTAATGTACTTTGTAGACCATTTTGGAAATCTGAGCTATTGAAATAATATTCCCTGTAAAAGATGGGAGTTTTCAAGTGGTTCTATCATGGGAAGTCCATAGCTAGACAGACTTCAGGGATATTTCTGGTCTATATCTTGACATTAAAGTAATTATTTGACTAATCCCGATTTTTCCTTTGGGAAAAATATGTAGGCAATTAGTAGTAAAATTTAATGTATCTGTTTTTCCAACTGAAACATTTATCCTGAATGTATCTTAGAGAAATTCTTACTTGTGTTACCGAGATAGGTACAAACATTGTATTAAGAGAGTTGTTAGAAATGGAAAATGAAAGTAACGTCCAGCCCTCAGGTAAAAGCTGGCATCATTTACAATGTCTGAAATATGTGTGCTTGGCAGAGACAATATTAAACCACAATACTGTGGTAAATAGGACCATCTCAGGAAACCACATGTGTAGTATGATAATATTTTGGTAAACTTTCAGGAAAACCTGGGTCCATGAGTCAATATTTGGAACTTTATGGAGTATGTTGTGGAATAATATATATATATATATTGGAATACATATATAATGGAATACATATATACATATATGGAATACATTATAGAATATTTGGAATATCTATTAATATTATGGGAATGCCAAATGGAAATCAAATCCACCAAATTCATGATAGTGTCTGCTTTTGGGCCATTGAAGTACAGAGAAATAGGATCATGCAGGGATATCAAGAAAACTCAGGTTTTATTGGTAAAAAAATATGAGTTCTGAAGCTAGTGTTATTAAATATGAATTTAGTATGACTTAAGGTTATAATGATAATAATTATAATATGTAATATTAATGGAGCATTTATTAAGTTCCTAGAGATATTCAGGGCAATGGTTCTCTATTCTGATCATGTTAAATGATAGAATCTGATGTGTGGAGATTCTGATTTGATTGGTTCTAGATTGTGTCCAACACATCTGTAAATTGTTAAAGACCAACAGCTAATTATAATGATCCACCAGTATTGAGAACTACTGTCTAACCCCTTCATATTTGTTATTTAATTTGATTATTACTGCAACTTCATAACATAATGCATGGGAGGAAAATAGCTATTTCTTTTACCCATCTTAGTTTCTCTGGCTGGGGCTCTGAAAACTTCATAGACAAAAGAAGTCACAAGAAAAAGCAAGCAGAACTTTATTAGTTTGTTCATGGCTATTGGTTGTTATTTATTCCCATACTTTTTTTCTTTTCCTAAAGGTATTTCAGCTACATGGAACTCTTGTATCTATTATCAGAACAATCCTGTAAGTCAAAAACTCAAGATAACATTGGCTATTGTACGGACTTCTTTGAGAGCTTTGATTTTCTATCTTGACAGGGCAGGCAATGTACATAATCACTGAAAATGGTAAAAATTTATTACTCATAATATGCTTTTTATTTTTAAAACAAGTCATGTGGTGGAGAACATCTATGAATGTAATGAAGAAAATCAATGTGGAAAAACTTTCAGCCAAATTTCACATCTTAATATACTGAAGAGAACTATTGATGTAAAATCCTATGAATGCTGTGAATGTAAACAGGTTTTCACAGATTGTCTATCCCTTAAGAATCACATCAAGTCTCACACAGGAAACAAACTCTATCAGCGTAAAGAATGCGGGAAAGCATTATACTTTCTCACTTGTTTTAAGAAGCATGTGAAAACTCCCACTGAAGAGAAACCCTATGAATGTAAGGAATGTACCAAATCCTTCAGTTGTTCTTCATTCTTTACGGCGCATATGAAGATTCACTCTGGAAAGAAAACATGAAAGTAAGGAATGTGGGACAACCTTCAGCTATTCTTCATCCCTCACAGAACACAAAAGAATTCATAGTGGAGATAAGCCTTATGAATGTAAGGAGTGTGGGAAGGCCTTCAGCTGTTCCTCTTCACTCTCCAAACACCAAAGAATTCATAGTGGAGATAAGCCATATGAATGTAAGGAGTGTGGGAAAGCCTTCAGTTCTTCCTCTCACCTTATAATACATATACGAATTCATACTGGAGAGAAGCCTTACGAATGCAAAGAGTGTGGGAAGGCCTTCAGTGAGTCCTCAAAACTCACCATCCATGTCAGAACACATACGGAGAGAAACCCTATTAATGTAAGGAATGCGGGAAAGCATACAACTGTCCCTCCTCCTTAAGTATCCATGTGAGGAAACATATTGGAGAGAAGCCATATGAATGTCTGGAATGTGGAAAAGCCTTCTATCTTCCCACTTCCCTTAATATGCATGTGAAAAATCAAAGTAGGGAGAAACCCTATGAATGTAAAGAATGCAGAAAAGCCTTCAGTTGTCCCTTGTCCTTCAGCGTACATGTGAGAGATCACACTGGAAAGATACAGTATGAATGTAAGGAATGCGGGAAGGCCTTCAGTTGCTCCTCCTCCCTCACTGAACACCTAAGAACTCACAGTGGAGAGAAGCCTTATGAATGTAAGGAATGTGGCAAAGCCTTTATTAATTCCTTCCACCTTAGTGTACATGTAAGTCCACCCTTAAAATGGGCCGCTGGCTCATTGATTTTCAGTGCTTTTTTTCTAATATATTTAAGGTGATATATTTCCCTCTAATACCTTTTCAGCTCTAGCCATATATGGTTAATTATGAGGTACTTGTTTTGGTTCAGATAATAAGTGTAATTCCCAGAACAGTGGACACTTTTGGACCTATTGGGAAAGTACAGTTTTTCATATGTAGGCAGGAGTAGTCTTTTTGTTCCTATTTAACTCATTGTTTCATAGGTGTGTAGTCTTTGTAGTGCTGACATTTTGCTATTTGTAATTTCTTTAGTAGTTGGTGATTTCATTTCATTTAGTAGTTGGTAATTTCATCTGCCAGATAGCAGATACTGCAAACTGCCTAATATTTTTTCCCCTTTCTTACTAAGAGGACCTCCTTGGGATTATCGGTTTTTTGTTCTTTGTACTTTCTCATGGCTAGTAAGTGGGATGAATGTTTCCCTGAGTTTAAAAAGAGGCCTTGTGATGGGAGAGGTAGAAGTAAAGTTGGTTGGCCTGGTTTGTGTGTTAATTTGAATGTGGGACACTGCATTTTCCAGGATCATTTCCTTATCCAATCCCAGTTAGTTTTGTCTAAAACAATAGTTTGCAAAGGGATTAGAAGGCAGAGGAAAGGAAGCCATTCTTAGTTTAGTGGGGTCATGAGATAGGTAGAAAGATGCTTAGGGGCCTGTGGGCTCCAGTCTCCAGCTTGTTTTCCTGATTATTAGACCCACCAGTCAATACTGGTTGAAAACAGCACAGTAAGTGCTTGACTTCAGTTCCCCCAGAGGCAGCAACTGTACAGGCATATCCTTGAGTTTCTCCATCACAGCCATACACAGCTTCTTAGATTTTCTGGCAAGTTCTAACACTGTCATTTGGTATTATCATCTCTTTGTCAAATCAAGTGACTCTGTAGAGTTGACCCCAGTTTGGGCCAGGATTGTTGTCCTCTACATAGTACAGTCTCATAATGTCACTCTGCTCAAGGGAAAGACATCTGTGCAAATGTACTGTGATCTCAAAAGCAGAAGGAGCTATGAATACTGAGAGAAGTTAGGTATCATTGAGGTAAGCATCAGACAGGTGTCATCTTGTTTCAGTGGGGAAATATTTATATTTGACACCATCAAACAAGATTTGACTACTTTTTCATGTAAGATGAAAGTTAGTTGGTTTGTGCTGCTTCAGGTATATTTAGCTGCACTTTGTTTCTTTCTGTTATATTTTCTCTTTTTGTCTAAAAATACACTTTTGCCACTTTCCCTTAATCACTTTTTTCAGTTTTATTAAGGCATACATATACTATGCATGTGTACAGTATGCATGCAACATGCATGAAGTACACTAATTGTTATAGTGTGCAACTCGATGGAATGTCACATATATACAGACCCTTATAAGTACTTTTCCAGGACTCCAGGAAGTTCATTCATCTGCTTTCTCAAGAACTGTGGCATAGAAGCAACCACAACTTTGGCTTTTGTTACAATATTGTTTGCTTATTCTTTATTTGCATACAGATATCAAAATACAGTCTGTACAGTTAATCTGTTTCCTTTCTTTCTCACAATACATAAAGTCTGGTTTGCCTTTTAATTCCTCTTTCAACAGACTTAACACTTATTTCTCTTGGTATCTGTTTTGTATGTAGGAAGGAGATGACTGAATCATAGGGGAGACTTTGTTTAGTTTGGTAAGTATTCCAGTTTTTCAAAAAAGTTAATTCCACCTATAATCCCAAAAGCAATGCATGAAATTTCCAGTTGTTCCACATACCTGGCTGGCACCTAATTATAGCCATTGAACAGAGGATATGGTAATATCTCATTATGGGTTTTAATTTGCATTTACCTGATACATAATGATGTATTGGCTCACCTTTGTCCAATATTATTGAGATCATAATTACATTCCTTTATGGGGTTACTGTCATGAGGGGACCAAATATATGTAAAAAGCTTGGGAAGTGTTTAGCACAGTAAAGCATCAATAAGTAAAGGTTGTGGTTATAATAATAGGGAAAAGGAAAATACTCATTTCTAGAGATGTTAAAATGGCATTTTGGTAAATTAAAACCCACCCAGAGTGAAAATCTTAGTAGAACAGGAATATAAACAACAAAATAAGTATACTAACAACTAGTATCAGGTTAAATGGTAGAACCTTGGAATCATTTTCATCATAGCAATTGAAGATACTCAAATGTCCATTTTATCACTGTTACATAATGCATAATGTTCAAGGGGAGGTAGCCTGTGCTTTTGGACAGAAATACCAATAAGGAAAAAGACCACAATGATAAATTTCAGATAATATAATTGTACTCAAGAAAAACATCTAGAAATACTCTTAGAACAAAGAGTGTTAGAAAATGGCAATATACAATTTGTTTTCTAATATGTCAGTATAAATCAGCAACAAATGAAACCAATGACAGGGAAAAACAAGTGAGAATGTTTGATATCTTGATCTGGGTGATAGTTACATGAGTGTATACACACATTAAAATCCATTGAGCTGTACACTTAAGATTTGTGCACTTTATTGTATGTATCCCAAAGAAAAATATGAAAAAATAATTAAAGTAGGAAGCTCTCCTTGCAGACATCAAAATGTTCAAATACAGGAATATTTTCAGGTTCTAGTATGTAAATGTTAACAGTAAAGATTCCCTGTCCCGACCCACAGGACTATCAACGGGGGTCGACGACCTGGAGGAGAGAATGAAGGGGCAAGAGACACAAAGAGCGGACAGCAAGACAGGATGTCTGATCAAGCTGACCAATTTTATTTTTCTCAGGCTCAATTTATATAGGTTGTGATGAAAATATATGTAAAGAGGTGATTGGTCTTCGGTTGGCGCCGGCGGGAACGTGTAGAGAGGTGATTGGGCTTCAGGTGGCGCCGGTGGGAGCGGAGAACCCGGAAGAGAAGCAGGAAGTTCGCCATCTTGTGGGTGGGGGCCCTTGGGAGGGAGGTTTAAGGGTGGAGCTTTCCCCTGGGGCAGCGGGTGTTTTTGAGAAGCAGGAGTTTGGCAGAGTTAGAAGGCCAGTGGAAAGAACAGAGGAGGAAACATTGCTTAGCAATCTGACTGCAAGATCTAAATTGATTTGGCTAGGAGAGCAACTCTGCCTTACTGCAGAAATGATTGCTGTTGTCTTAAGATTTACATAACTAGTATTGCTTAAAAGTCCATAGGCTCGCTC